TTGGGGCTGTCTTCCTGGTTTGCCATGTCTCACTCCCTAGGGTCTGGAACAGTTCACGGGCTGCCAGCTGTCTTTCCACGAGGGAGACCAACTCATCGTAGGTAGAGGGGTCATTCTGGCCAACCCAAGCCCTAAGGCCTGGTGGTCGCCCCCTCATATACCGGTCCAGTACCAGGAGCTCCATCTTTTTTGGGGGGGGGGCTGAGGGCCTCAGGGCGCAGCCGTTTCTGGGTCAGGTGGATCAGGTCAAACAATTGCGATCGAGGTGTCTTGTCCTCTGTATACTCCCATTCATGAAACCTCTGGGCTTGCAATGCTATGGTTACTCCTGATCTGGCCAGGATCTCTGCCTTTAGCTGGGGGTAATCCTCCGCAGTCTCTGCAGCCATATCGTAGTAGACTTCCTAGGCCTCTCCACACAGGAACAGGGCGAGGATTCCAGACTGCTGATCTCGGGGCCAGTCTTCCCACAGGGCTGTTCTCTCAAATGCCAGGAGGTACACCTCTACATCATCCTCCCGTGTCATTTTCTGTAGGCAGTGACTGGCCCATATAGTCCGGGTTCCGTTGCAATTGTGGTTCCACTCCATAAGGGCCTTCATCTGGTTTGCCAGCTCCTGTAGTAGAGCTTGGTCCTGGGCAGCCTGATTCATCAGCAGCCGATTAGTCTCCTGCTGCACGCGAATCGCCTCCTGTTGGGCGGTTGCTTGGATTCGGGTAGCCTCCTGCTGGGCCACAGTGGCTTGTATTAGAGCCTTGGCCACATCGTCCATCTTGGGGAATGGTATGGTTTTGGTTAACCCTGGTTTAAGTCCCCAGCGCGGAGATCCCACTCCTGACACCACGTGTGGCAAATTGCCGGTACGAATATGATGGGTCCAGCTCTTCCTCTTCTTGGGGGACGGGGGGTTCAGGGTGCAGTTTCCTGCCCCTGAACTAGGGTATCTACTGTCCCACTAGTAACCCAGAGAAGGGTAGTGGAGAGGGTGGGACCCGGGCCTGCCCTCTACTCTAGGTCCCAGCCCAGGGGCCCTAGGGATGGTGGTAAACCACTTGAACTAGTGCTTCCTTCCCCTGGGCTACTTCCCTCTCCTGCTCTTCAGCTTGTGGGGCTTCCTGCCCTCTCTCTCTCTCTGCACAAGCCAGGTGTCTGTTTACCTAGGATCTTGGTCTTCTAGCTAGCCACAGCACTGCTCCAACTCCTCCAAACTGCTCTCTGCTCCAACTCCTTCCCCTGGCTGATTGAAGCAGGGGGTTTTTACCAGGTGACTAGCTTTGGGTCCTCTAATTGGCTTCAGGTGCTTTTAATTAATCTATAGCAACCTTTCTTCCCTCTACAGGGAAAAAGGCTTCTCCTCATCCTGGGACTTACATATCTCTCCTATATCACTCTCCAGCTGCCTTCTGGCCATGCTGTATCACAATGTGTACACAACCCTATTATTATTATGTATTATTTCTATTACTGCTGTGCCTAGGACTGTGCCCTGAATGATTTTGCCATTGACTCCCCTGTCCTTTGTCTTGTCTCCCCTCTTCTTTTTTATCTATTTTTTGACTCTCACTTGTGTCAAGTTGAAGCTTGATGCAACCCCATGCTCTGAGTGTTCCTAGCCTCTGTTAGCCAGAAGCTGGGAGTGGACAATAGGGAATGGATCACTTGATGATTGTCTTTCTGTTCATTCCCTCTGAAGCACCTGGTATTGGCCACTGTCAGAAGACAGGATACTGAGCTAGATGGACCATTGGTCTGACACAGTGGGGCTGTTTTTATGTTCTTATGTTCTTTATATTTAATGTTTTCTGGGCAGAGACTATGTCTGTGCTTGTTTCTGTGAGGGGCCTACCACAGTTTTGGGCACTCAGAAATGATAACACATAACACAGAATCTCAACATCTTTCTCCTTCCCCCATCCTGCATGGGGTATTTAATGGAAGGTCTGTGAAGAGAGTAGAGAACTTGGGACATACGCTGTCTTTAGCTTGAGTTTGCAGGTAGCTGTGTTCTGAATCGTTTGTTGTTTTTCAAAGTTGTTAATTTCATTCTAAGATAAGGTATGTTACCATAACCAATCTGGAGATCTGTCAGGGTTCCTTCCCCACTCTGAACTCTAGGGTACAGATGTGGGGACCCGCAAGAAAGACCCCCTAAGCTTATTTCTACCAGCTTAGGTTAAAACTTCCCCAAGACACAAAGTCTTTGCCCTTGGATTAGTTGAATGCTGCCACCACCAAGTGATTTAACAAACAATCAGGGAAAGAACCACTTGGAGTTCCTATTTCCCCAAAACATCCCCCCAAACCCTTACACCCCCTTTCCTGGGGAGGCTTGAGAATAAACAAGATGAGCACAAACCAGCCTTGGAAAAACCCAATCAGATTCTTTAAAAACAGAACTTTATTAGAAGAACAAAAAAAGATAAGAGAACAACTCTGTAAGATCAGAATGGAAGATAATCTTACAGGCAATCAGATTCAAAACATAGAGAATCCCTCTAGGCAAAACCTTAAGTTACAAAAAGACACAAAAACAGGAATACACATTTCCTCCAGCACGGCAAATTTCATAAGCCAAAACAAAGAAAACCTAATGCATTTTCTAGCTAGATTACTTACTAACTTTACAGGAGTTGGAGGGCTTGCATCCTTGATCTGTTCCCGGCAAAGGTATCACACAGACAGACAAAAGCCTCCTCCCCCCCCCCCCACTCCAGATTTGAAAGTATCTTGTCCCCTCATTGGTCATTTTGGGTCAGGTGCCAACCAGGTTACCTGAGCTTCTTAACTCTTATAACAGGTAAAAGGACTTTGCCTCTGGCCAGGAGGGATTTTATAGCACTGTATACAGAAAGGTGGTTACCCTTCCCTTTATATTCATGACAAGATCATAAATGTGTCTGTCACTGTGGCACAGTGTGAATCTGATTGTATAATTTCAAACAGCCTAACATATTTCTTCAGATGCTAAACGCCCCAGTTCCCCTACCCCAGAGGTGGGAAACTATGGTCCGCAGACCACATCCGGCCCACGGCACCATCTTGCCTGGCTCCTGGCCTGGGAGGTGGGCCCCGGCCCCTCCCCCGCTGTTCTCCGTCCCCCATAGTGACACCGCTGCGCAGGCAGTGCTCTGGGCTGCGGGCTCATGCAGAGCAGCGCGACAGCGTCTCAGGCTCCAGCTGGGCAGCACGGCTCCCAGACATGCTGTACTGAGCAGCATAGTAAGGGGGCCAAGGGGTTGGTAAAGGGGCATGGGGTCCCGGGGGCAGTCAGGGGACAGGGGGCGGTTGGATGGGCTGGAGGTTCGGTGGAGGGGGGTCGTCAGGGGATGGGGAACAGGGGACAGTTGGATAGGGCAGAGGTTCGGGGGGGCGGCAGTCAGGGGACAGGGAGCGGGGGGGGTTAGATGGGGGTGAGGTCCCGGGGGGGAGGTTGGGGCGGGGGTCCTGGGAGGAGGCGGTCAGGGGACAAGGAGCAGGGTGGGGATTGGATGGGGGGGTTCTGAGGGGAGCAGTCAGTGGGTGGGAAGTGGGAGGGGGCAGATAGGAGGCAAAGGCCAGGCTGCTTGGGGAGGCACAGCCTTCCCTACCCAGCCCTCCACATAGTTTCACACCCCGATGTGGCCGTCGGGCCAAAAAGTTTGCCCACCCCTGCTTTACCCACTTGCCAAAACATCCATATTTTCTCTGATAACGTCTATGAATTGTGTTGCCAAGTACAAAAGCTGCAGCACACTGAAAACTGGGAAATGTGGAGACAGCATAAGATAAATTGACATTCTTTGGCTATCCCTCGATGCAAGGATGATGTCTGCCAAGGTGGTGGGGGTCACTGGTGGGTTTTTAAGTGGCTGAGGAGCCTAATTTGTGCCCTGCAGATTTTTCCACAGAAGTGACAGGTGTTATCTTGGAGGAGACATAGTTGTTGGCTGGACTGTTGTGCCCTTTCTTTCCTCGTTTGTTGCTTCTCTGTCTCATGAGCATGTCTGTTCTCCTCAAAGTGAGCTGTGGTTTGGTACATGGTGTAAATTGACTTCAGTATCAAAACAAATAACATAGACTACTGTAATAATTGTATTCATTTTCAAATTTAATTAAACGAGAACTTCGATTTTTAATGTCAAGAAAGTTATCAGAGGAGTGGAGGAATGAATGTCAGGCATTCTTCATGTTTGTCCATCTTGTTTTAAGGAATCTTGAACATCTGGAGGTGGAATTATTATATTTCTGTGCTGATCAGTTGTCGCTCACACATTTTTCTTAGTCATCCCTTTAAAGGTCCCAACTGACATTTGGCAAATGGTGTCACAACTACAATTGTGCTTGCATGAGGTTTAAATCTTACAGAAAGTATCACCACCTGATTTGCTTGAAACCTGTCACCTAGTTGTTAGTCTTTCACAGGGTTGGAATGAACTGAAAAAAGTTGCATGCTTTCCTGAGAACGGAGTGGTCTCTCTGAACTCGAGCTCTTGCTAGCCAGTAGACCTGGGTACTCGGTATCTTGCTAGCCAGTAGTCCTGTTGTACGCATGGGTACTTGCTTGATCTCTTGTTTTTAATCCTATCTTATTCATAAAATAATTACTCGTACAATCACTATCACCTAATTAGTATTTCTTCCTAAATTACACTCTTTACCAGAGGAAGGATGTTTTTAGGGTTAAGGTACTAGGCTAGGGCTTAACTGTGGGTTCAGTTCCCACCTTTCCTATAGACTTTTTGTGTTACCCTTGAGCAAACCTCTGTGCCTGGATTTCCCATCTGTAAAATGGGGATACACTATTAAGTGAATAAGGCTCTGTCTACACACTTCAACCAAATTTATAATCTCTGTGTGTCATCGTCAGCTGGAAACATGATTTATGTTCACACACTACATGGTTTCTCTTCACCAAAGGAGATCAGTAGGGTTGTGTTAATCCTTCAATGTGCATATACAAACAGTCTTACAATGGAGTTTGAAAAATATATAATTTAGTGTGGATTTTGCTACTTTTTAGATTGAACAGAGTGGTGAGATCCCTCCTTCCTGCTGTAATTTTCCTGTGGCTGTTTGCAAAGACAAGATGTTTGTGTTTTCTGGCCAGAGTGGAGCAAAGATCACCAATAATCTCTTTCAGTTTGAATTCAAGGAAAAAATGTAAGTTCTAACATTTGATTCAAGTAAAATACATGTATTATTTCTGTTGTTCAGGGTGAAGAAAGTACATAATGAACGATATTGAAGAAGGAACAGTTTGTATTTCATAACTAAGAAAGGCAGTTCTTTCTCATTTCTAATTTTTTTGATTTTTAGTTGAGGTTTAATTAGGCTGATATTTGGATAATATGTTAGCAATAACACAATAGCTTGACGATATGCGTTGGCTAGATAGAGACAATTTTTTCTACAGAAGAACAGAAACTCATATTGATTCATTTGAAATAATAGGCAGTGGGCACAATTTTCAGATCTGGATGTGTAATGATTGGCTCCTCAGTCCATACCTAGGTGTCTAATTAGAAGGGGGCTGATTTTCAGAGGTGCTGAGCAGCCTCAATTCCCTTTGAAGTCAGTGGGAGTTGTAGATGATCAACATCTTTGAAAATCAGATAATTTAAGTGTCTGTATAAGGATTTAGGAATGTAACTTCAAGCTCCCAATTTAGAAAATCTTGACAAGTGCCTTTTCAGATGCTCTGTTACATTTGGCCCCAAACAATAGGAAAATATCAAGAGTGCACATGGTTTCCTCATTCAGCAATTGAAAGCTCCTGCTTTCTTAGACATTGTCACCATGTGGAGTGCTCATAGGAATTTCATACCATATGTGTCTAACAGGGGGAACAGCATGAATCTACAGTTCAAGGAAATGAGATAACTATGAAAAGCAAATGTCTAGTCAGCTCTTGGGGGGCAGCAGTCTGACCCTGAATCCCTGCACATGTACACACATATGCACTTTCAAACAGTGGATTCCAGCTTTTGTGGGAATGTTTTTATTTCAAACTTTTGATCTCACAGTCCAGTTAGTTAGGTTGGGAGTTGGATAATTATTAAATATTAAAAATCTGAGTGTGGTATAATGAAAGAAGTTTTAAAAGTACTGGTCTGGAACCACAATAGAGAGACAGGTTTCAGAGTAGCAGCCATGTTACTCTGTATTCACAAAAAGAAAAGGAGTACTTGTGGCACCTTAGAGGCTAACAAATTTATTTGAGCATAAGCTTTCGTGAGCAACAGCTCACTTCATCGGATGCATCGATGTAGCTCACGAAAGCTTATGCTCAAATAAATTTGTTAGTCTCTAAGGTGCCACAAGTACTCCTTTTGTTTTTTTAATAGAGAGACAGTAGGCCAAGCCACAATTTTGAAATCTGACTAGCAATTGAGTGCCCCAGTTTTTGGATTCCCAACTTGAGACATCTTTGAGGGTTCTGATTAGCAGGCAGTGTTAAGTACCTGCCCTCTGAAAACCTGGCCCCTTGAGAAAGATCAGGTTTGGCACCCAAAAACTGGGGCACCCAAAACCACTACTCAGTTTTGAAAAATTTGGTCTACAATTCTGAAAGAGATAAAAGTGGGGAACAAAAAAGCAGCCACTGTAGCTTAACTACTGCTACTACAAGTATTGCCACAGTTACTGATGGCCTTTTTGTTGGGGAGAGAAAGGACTGGGTATTGTTTTAATTTCATAGTTTCTGAGCGTTTAAGGCCAGAAAGAAGAATTAAATCATCTAGTGTGACCTCCTGAATATCACAGGCTGTTCAGTTTCACCCAGATACCCCTATATTAAGCCCAAATACTTTAATTAGGCTTAAGCATTTCAGTCCTCTGGAGGGTAAACTATTGTGTGCCACAGACAGAGAGCAAGAGATACCGAGGTGTCCCCAGTGCCCAGAGCTCCTGCAATGGCAGGGAATTGATTAAGTGAGATAAGCTCAGATGATCCCAAGATGAATCCACATTCCATGCTGCAGAGATCAAAAAAACCCCAAGGTTCCTGCCAATCTCAGCTGGGGGACAATTCCTTCCCAGCCCCAAACATGACGACCAGTTTGACCCTGAGCATGTGAGGAAGATACACTAGCCAGATGTGCTGTTGCTCAAATAGAAGTTATTTATTTGATGCAGAAATTACTGGGTGAGGTTCTCAGGCCTGTATTATGCAGGGGGTCAGACTACATGATCACAATGGGACATAAAATCTAGGAATCTATGAAAACCACCACAGTAATGAAACAAAATACAGCATAAACCAACCAGTCATTTAAACATTAAATGAAGTGTGCAAGTCTTGTATCTTGTCCTGATGTCTGCTAGAGTTGGGCTCTGCCTGACTGCAAGTATAATAAAAAGCTGAATTGGTGATTGCAAATAATATTCATCATATTATGTTAAGAAACTGTGATCCCTTACCAAAATACTGATTTTATTTAAATAGTGGGGGTAGGGTTTGGTTAGGGTATATTGTAATGTGTGTTCTCCATCTCTAATTGATAGAATCCTTTGGGGATTTTGAGACAGTTAATTTTCAAAACTCATTTTGAAGAAAGGAGTTGTAAAAGATTTACTCTTTGTTTCATGTCTTGTGTCTCAGTTGGACACGAATTCCTACTGAACACTTACTTCGGGGCTCCCCTCCTCCGCCACAGCGAAGATACGGTCACACCATGGTTGCCTTTGATCGCCACCTCTATGTGTTTGGTGGTGCTGCAGATAACACATTGCCAAATGAACTTCACTGCTACGATGTGGACTCTCAGACCTGGGAAGTTATCCAGCCTAGTCCAGATAGTGAGGTAAAGAGTGCACTGTTTAATTATTCCTCTTTCTCCTTTTAATCTACCTTTTGCTTCCATGATATAGAACAAAGAATCTTTATTTAAATTAATAACATTAATATTGAATTATACTTTTTATAGCTCCTTCCCCAAAAAACTGTTATACTGTCAGTACAGAGTGAACAAAATTTCCTTAGAAGGCACTGTCATTATTGATACTTGTAAAACTCAAACTTTCTTCATTGGCACTTTTTTTTAAAAGATCCAAAAAAGACGTTTATAGGAGCTAACACTTGACATAGAAAATAATAAATCCTCATGTTCCATGGCATGAACCAGCCACTAACTGATAAGGGTTAGGAAGAAACTTCCCCAGTGAGGATGTTATTCCATGATAAGCAAATGGGGTTTCTTGCACGTTCTCCTGAAGCATCTGGTGCAGTCCCCTCTGAGAGAAGATACTGGACTAGACGGACCACTATAAACTTCTTATTGGAAAGCAATTCCTCTGTTTATATGTTCCTAGGTGCAGTACTTACTAGCAAAGAAGAACTGGCTGTGAATTTGAGAATAGGGGAGCTTGGAAAGACTAGCTACTGTTGAAGATATTTGGGTTCATTAAGCAGTAGAATGATGGAAGATTAGTGTTGGAAGAGACCTCAGGAGGTCATCTAGTCCAACCCCAACTAAATCATCCCAGCCAGGGCTTTGTAAAGCTGGGCCTTAAAAACCTCTAAGGATGGAGATTCTACCACCTCCTTAGGTAACCCATTCCAGTGTTTCACCACACTCCTAGTAAAACAGTGTTTCCTAATATCCAATCTAGATCTCCCCAACTGCAACTTGAGACCATTGCTCCTTGTTCTGTCATCTGCCACCACTGAGAACAGCCGAGCTCCATCCTCTTTGGAACCCCCCCACCCCTTTCAGGTAGTTGTATGCTGCTATCAAATCCTCCCTTACTCTTCTTCAACAAGCATGTGGACAAAGGAGATCCAGTGGATATAGTGTATTTAGATTTTTAGAAAGCCTTTGACAAAGTCCCTCACCAAAGGCTCTTAAGCAAAATAAGCAGTCATAGAATCATAGAATATCAGGGTTGGAAGGGACCTCAGGAGGTCATCTAGTCCAACCCCCTGCTCAAAAGCAGGACCTATACCCAATTAAATCATCCCAGCCAGGGCTTTGTCAAGCCTGACCTTAAAAACTTCTAAGGAAGGAGATTCCACCACCTCCCTAGGCAACGCATTCCAGTGTTTCACCACCCTCCTAGTGAAAAAGTTTTTCCTAATATCCAACCTAAACCTCTCCCCCTGCAACTTGAGACCATTACTCCTTGTCCTGTCCTCTTCCACCACTGAGAATAGTCTAGAACCATCCTCCCTGGAACTACCTTTCAGGTAGTTGAAAGCAGCTATCAAATCCCCCCTCATTCTTCTCTTCTGCAAACTAAACAATCCCAGTTCCCTCAGCCTCTCCTCATAAGTCATGTGTTCCAGACCCCTAATCATTTTTGTTGCCCTTTGCTGGACTCTCTCCAATTTATCCACATCCTTCTTGTAGTGTTGGGCCCAAAACTGGACACAGTACTCCAGATGAGGCCTCACCAATGTCGAATAGAGGGGGACGATCACGTCCCTCTATCTGCTCGCTATGCCCCTACTTATACATCCCAAAATGCCATTGGCCTTCTTGGCAACAAGGGCACACTGCTGACTCATATCCAGCTTCTCGTCCACTCTCACCCCAAGGTCCTTTTCCGCAGAACTGCTGCCTAGCCATTCGGTCCCTAGTCTGTAGCTGTGCATTGGATTCTTCCGTCCTAAGTGCAGGACCCTGCACTTATCCTTATTGAACCTCATCAGATTTCTTTTGGCCCAATCCTCCAATTTGTCTAGGTCCCTCTGTATCCTATCCCTCCCCTCCAGCGTATCTACCACTCCTCCCAGTTTAGTATCATCCGCAAATTTGCTGAGAGTGCAATCCACACCATCCTCCAGATCATTTATGAAGATATTGAACAAAACCGGCCCCAGGACCGACCCCTGGGGCACTCCACTTGACACCGGCTGCCAACTAGACATGGAGCCATTGATCACTACCCGTTGAGCCCGACAATCTAGCCAACTTTCTACAGACCTTATAGTGCATTCATCCAGCCCATACTTCCTTAACTTGCTGACAAGAATACTGTGGGAGACCGTGTCAAACGCTTTGCTAAAATCAAGATACAATACATCCACTGCTTTCCCTTCATCTACAGAACCAGTAATCTCATCATAGAAGGCGATTAGGTTAGTCAGGCATGACCTTCCCTTGGTGAATCCATGCTGGTTGTTCCTGATCACTTTCCTCTCATGCAAGTGCTTCAGGATTGATTCTTTGAGGACCTGCTCCATGATTTTTCCAGGGACTGAGGTGAGGCTTACTGGCCTGTAGTTCCCAGGATCCTCCTTCTTCCCTTTTTTAAAGATTGGCACTACATTAGCCTTTTTCCAGTCATCCGGGACTTCCCCCGTTCGCCACGAGTTTTCAAAGACAATGGCCAATGGCTCTGCAATCACAGCCGCCAGTTCCTTTAGCACTCTCGGATGCAACTCATCCGGCCCCATGGACTTGTGCACGTCCAGTTTTTCTAAATAGTCCCTAACCACCTCTTTCTCCACCGAGGGCTGGCCATCTATTCCCCATGTTGTGATGCCCAGCACAGCAGTCTGGGAGCTGACCTTGTTCGTGAAGACAGAGGCAAAAAAAGCATTGAGTACATTAGCTTTTTCCACATCCTCTGTCACTAGGTTGCTTCCCTCATTCATTAAGGAGCCCACACTTTCCTTGGCTTTCTTCTTGTTGCCAACATACCTGAAGAAACCCTTCTTGTTACTCTTAACATCTCTCGCTAGCTGCAGCTCCAGGTGCGATTTGGCCCTCCTAATTTCATTCCTACATACCCGAGCAATATTTTTATACTCTTCCCTGGTCATATGTCCAACCTTCCACTTCTTGTAAGCTTCTTTTTTATGTTTAAGATCTGCTAGGATTTCACCGTTAAGCCAAGCTGGTCGCCTGCCATACTTACTATTCTTTCGACACATTGGGATGGTTTGTCCCTGTAACCTCAACAGGGATTCCTTGAAATACAGCCAGCTCTCCTGGACTCCTTTCCCCTTCATGTTAGTCCCCCAGGGGATCCTACCCATCCGTTCCCTGAGGGAGTCGAAGTCTGCTTTCCTGAAGTCCAGGGTCCGTATCCTGCTGCTTACCTTTCTTCCCTGTGTCAGGATCCTGAACTCAACCAACTCATGGTCACTGCCTCCCAGATTCCCATTCACTTTTGCTTCCCCTACTAATTCTTCCCGATTTGTGAGCAGCAGGTCAAGAAAAGCTCCCCCCCTAGTTGGCTCCTCTAGCACTTGCACCAGGAAATTGTCCCCTACGCTTTCCAAAAACTTCCTGGATTGTCTATGCACCGCTGTACTGCTCTCCCAGCAGATATCAGGAAAATTAAAGTCACCCATGAGAACCAGGGCATGCGATCTAGTAGCTTCTGCGAGCTGCCGGAAGAAAGCGTCATCCACCTCATCCCCCTGGTCCGGTGGTCTATAGCAGACTCCCACCACTACATCACTCCTGTTGCTCACACTTCTAAACTTAATCCAGAGACACTCAGGTTTTTCTGCAGTATCGTACCGGAGCTCTGAGCAGTCATACTGCTCCCTTACATACAGTGCTACTCCCCCACCTTTTCTGCCCTGCCTATCCTTCCTGAACAGTTTATAACCATCCATGACAGTACTCCAGTCACGTGAGTTATCCCACCAAGTCTCTGTTATTCCAATCACGTCATAATTCCTTGACATCACCATGACCTCCAGTTCTCCCTGCTTGTTTCCAAGGCTTTGTGCATTCCTATATAAGCACTTGAGATAACCTGCTGATCGCCCCTCATTCTCAGTATGAGGCAGGAGCCCTCCCTTCACAGACATTCCTGCCTGTGCTTCCTCCCGGTATCCCGCTTTCCCACTTACCTCAGGGCTTTGGTCTCCTTCCCCCGGTGAACCTAGTTTAAAGCCCTCCTCACTAGGTTAGCCAGCCTGCTCGCAAAGATGCTCTTCCCTCTCTTCGTAAGGTGGAGCCCGTCTCTACCCAGCACTCCTCCTTCATGGAACACCATCCCATGGTCAAAGAATCCAAAGCCTTCTCTCCGACACCACCTGCGTAGCCATTCGTTGACTTCGACAATTCGACGGTCCCTACCCAGGCCTTTTCCTTCCACGGGGAGGATGGACGAGAACACCACCTGCGCCTCTAACTCCTTTATCCTTCTTCCCAGAGCCACGTAGTCCGCAGTGATCCGCTCAAGGTCATTCTTGGCAGTATCATTGGTGCCCACGTGGAGAAGCAGGAAGGGGTAGCGATCCGAGGGCTTGATGAGTCTCGGCAGTCTCTCCGTCACATCGCGAATCTTAGCCCCCGGCAAGCAGCAGACTTCTCGGTTTTCCCGGTCAGGGCGGCAGATAGATGACTCAGTCCCCCGGAGTAGAGAGTCATGGGATAAGAGGGAAGGTTCTCTCATGGATTGGTAACTGGTTAAAAGACAGGAAACAAAGGGTAGGAATAAATGGTCAGTTTTCAGAATGGAGAGAGGTAAATAGTGGTGTCCCCCAGGAATCTGCACTGGGCCCAGTCCTATTTAACATATTCATAAACGATCTGGAAAAAGGGGTAAACAGTGAGGTGGCAAAATTTGCAGATGAAACAAAACTGCTCAAGATAATTAAGTCTCAGGCAGATTATGAAGAGCTACAAAAGGATCTCTGAAAACTGGGTGACTGGGCAACAAAATGGCAGATGAAATTTAATGTTGATAAATGCAAAGTAATACACATTGGAAAACATAATCCTAACTATACATATACAATGATGGGGTCTAAATTAGCTGTTCCTCTCAAGAAAGAGATCTGAGAAAGGTATCAAGTGGAGTGCCCCAAGGGTCGGTCCTCGGGCCAGTTTTGTTCAAT